CAGGAATTTTCGCGGAAATGWTTTCATTAATTTGATCTGTGCGCGGTTTGGAACCCGCCACGTAAMAAACATCCCCAATGAAAAATAACAACCAGCCTCGGATAACAATGGCAAACGAAATGCGGTCAACGATTTGAGGCTATGCACCAGAAATGTCCGGTCCCTTAATTGGCAAGGCGCCACTGTCCAGCTGGTTGATGTCCTCGTTAGAGTGAAGGCTGACATCATCGCCGTCCAAGGAATGCGATGGACGGGACAAGGACTGAGGCGAGTAGAACTTTGTGGCATTGACTAAAGTGGCTATATAAAGCAGCGCATGTTTGGTGTGAGAAAGAGAGGTGGTGGGAAAGAGACTCCGTCATCGACTACTATCATTCACTTCGGTGGATGAACATCTAACCACAATCCGCATGAAAGCAAGGTTCCTTAACATATCGCTGATTTGCGGCCACGCCCCGATGGAAGAAAAGGACGATGTGACCCAAGATGCCTTCTATGAGCGCATGGCGCTCACCTATGAGAGCTGCCCCCGCCTCGATGTTAAAATCGTGTTTGGCGACTTTAACGCCAGGGTGGGCAAAGAAGGTATCTTTGGCGCAATAATTTAAAGTGCTCTCTGAAAGCACTAGTCAACAACTCGGTATAAGGGAACTGTGGGACGGCAATTCAAACTCCTTACGTACAGCTGCAACCGAAACACTTGGTTTCTTGAACTTGCAAACGAACACCTGGTACGACGAGGAGTGTCGTGTTGCAGCGAAGAGAAAACCGCCTACCTCTCTCCGGCCGACTACAACATGTGCGTGATCCCATGAAAAAATGCGGCGGTTTCATACAAGGTGACTTCTTCAATTTGCTGCTGGAAATCGAGCAGGTACAATCGCCGGATAACTCTTGCCAACAGGTGCTATTTTGGACTAAGTAGGCAATTGAGGAGTATAGTCCTCTTTCGACGAACAAAAACGAAACTCTGTAAGTCACTCATTATTCCCGTCCTGCTATATGGTGCAGAGGCAGATTTGCGAAAGATTTATGGTCCTTTGCGCGTTGGCCTCGGCGAATATCGCATTCGATGAAATGTTGAGCTGTATGAGATATACAATGACATTGACATAGTTGAGCGAATTAAAAGACAGCGGCTACGCTGACTAGGTCGTGTCGTCCGAATGGACGAAAACACTCCAACTTTGAAAGTGTTCGACGCGGTATCCGCCGGGGGAGGCAGGGGAAGAGGAAGACCTCCACTCCGTTGGAAGTACCAAGTGGAGAAGGACCCGGCTGGGGCACTTTTGCTAACTCGGCTATAACCGAGTACGAGGTTTCTACGCCAGTAAAGAGGAAGATGTATTCGTACATGTGCTTTGGCTGCCAATGTTGATTGCAAAAAGAATGCCGACCGATATTAACGCGACTTTATCGTGGCGTCGTAACAAATTTCAATCACTTTGTATGACGCACACATAAAGTTTTCACTGAATACTTTTCAATAATTAGCTTTGAATAGCTGAAATAAAAAAAGCCAAATCAATTGGAAAACAAAACAAAAAAAAAAAAATGTATGGAAAAGTCACCTTTTGGAAATTTACGCTCGTATGTCGGTTAAACATAAATATTTTCCGAATTTGTTTTCTTTACAAACCATCCTCATTGGATTCTCTTCATTCAGGCCATTTTTAATTTCATGCAACGGTTTAATTGGACTTCATCAATATACTGGGGCTAAGTGAGTCCCTGTGAGTTAGAAGAGGGCACAATAGACCTAAGGTCGCGGTGCATTTTATCTATGCTATCTAGGCTAACGGTTTAGTTAGCTATAGCGAACAGACAAAAACGCAACTTTGTGCCCAAAAAATAAGGTGGCATTTGAATTTAAATTGCGCGCGTCGAAGGATTTGGAGAATTCTTTTTTTTAGGTTGGTAGTGCTGTCAGTCATTTTTATGTCAAATTTCATGTCAAAATATTCATTAGTGTTTGAGATACGTGTCGTTTTGTGAGCTGCTAAAAGTGAGTTTTTCGTTTTTTGCGATGTTGAAATTTATTGAGCAAAGAATTTGCATTACATTTTGTTTACGGAATCAATTTTTTGCTGCGGATACGTTTAGGATGGTGCAGAAAGCCTTTGGTGATGAGGCTATGTCTAAAAAAAATGTTTGCAAGAGGTATAGTGAGTTCCAAGCCGGGTGGGAACGTGTCGAAGACGAACAGCGTCCAGGGCGACCATGAACCTCAACCGACGAAGCTCACGTTCAACAAATCAAAGATTTGGTGTTTGAAAAACCGTCGATTAACAATTAGAGACCTTGCTGATGAAGTTGGCTCAGCCAATACCATTTTGAAGGATATTTTGGACCTCAAGCGCGTCAAATCTCGACTGGTACAGAAAACATTGAAGTTTTTAGAAAAAGGCGTCACGTTGAAGTGTGTGAGACGATCCTTTTCAACTACCAGGGTGTCATGAAACGCATTATAACTGGCGATGAGACTTGGATCTATGCTTACGACCCCGAAACAACCGATCAATCGAACGAATATCGTGCCCAAAGATAGCCGAGACCAAAAAAATCGCGCCAAAAACGCTCAAAAATCAAGGTCATGTTGACTGTTTTCTTCGATTATCGTGGTGTTGTGCATTATGAATTCCTTCCAACCGGTCAAACAGTCAACAAGGAATATTATTTACAAATCAAATATTATTTGAACGTTATGCTTCGTTTGCGTAACRCTATCCGCCTAAAAAGGCCGGAATTGTGGAAAGACAATTCTTGGTTTTTACATCAGATAATGCACCATCCCATACTGCCCTCGTAATTCGTTATCATTTCGCCAAAAACTCAACCCATATCGTTCCGCAACCACCGTATACACCTGATCTGGCGCCGTGCGACTTCTGGCTGTTCACACCGCTTTTGTACGATAGAGGAGATTCAAGCCACAGCGAAGACGGAACTGAAGGCCATCCCGGAAAGTGACTACAACCAGTGTATAATAAATAAGATGTGTTGTGATTACGTTAAAAATTAATGAAATGGTTCAGGCGTTGCTCCAACCACCATCGTCCACCATGAATTTGTTCCTCTTGGACAAATTGTTAACGCCAAGTTTTACGTAGAAGTCCTTAAGAGACTCAAACGAAGGATTAATAGGGTCCGACAAGATATCGCAGCCGATTGGAACCTAGATGTGGCCCCCGGAATTTTTTTGTTTCCTTGTCTGAAGAGACCGATTTAAAGATAAGCATTTTGAGACTACAGGCTATTCCGAAGAATATCTTCTGTGACGCCTTCAATGCTTGGGCTGGCAGCGCTACATCGACGCAGAAAGAGCCTAGTTTGAAAGTTTTTAAAGAATTGAAACGATAGGTTCAACAATTTTAATAATATGGACTCAGCGAAATTACCTTCCCGCCAAACCCTGTATTACAGTATACATACATCGGATATCTTAATACAATTAAACATTAATATTTCGATTAGTACTACACGATGCGATATGATGTAGTGATTAGTTAGGTTGATTTTAATATTAATAATTCGGATATAAAGAAATACGTAGAAGTGAAGAGAGATCGGGGCCACCAAAAAAGTTTAAAAAGATAATCTGGCATAATATGATAGGATTGAAAAAAACTTTTGACGACTTGCTAAGGGCTCATGTACGAAAACGAACCATGGTATGCTACAAATTTTTCATTATTTGCTTAAAAATTTACAAGCAATATTATACTTCCCACTAAACAAAGAAAATAATCATAAGAATTGAAAAGAACATACATATTGGAAAAAATTCAACAAGGTTAGTAAATATTATTATTTGGTGCATAATATTACTCTAATAACTTAATGCTACAATGTGAAAATAGGACTACACCCACGTCCTCTTCTCAAATATCACAGTTTTAAATTTCATATGATTTTTTCACACCACTCTCTAAACCAAGCAGCAATATAATATACATACTTATAACTTATATATCGGAATAAAACTTTTAACGAATACTGGCTATAGGATAGTAATTTCAAGTAAAAAATTTTCGAAATGGGGTTATAACGATTTCAATCTCCGAAAGTATGGACCCCAATGAATGTGCAGAAAAAATGACAATTTGTACTCTATATACTTGTATATTAGATAAAATTAGAATCTTTTGCCGATATTAATGTACCCATGTGTCAAAAATAAAATCGGATCAATATTTATCTATCTCATATAAAGAATTTGCGGTTGATAAGATGTGATTTATCTTAATAACAATAAGAGAGGGTATATTTCTAAAAGTTCTGTCCTTGTTTAACAAAAATGTTTCTAATACAATAAATAAAGTTAACCCAAAACTATAACTATAAATCCATAAAATATAAAGGGACGTGATTGTGCTGAGCACTGAAACGTTGAATATGATGAATGAATGGTTGAATCAGTTTACATTCAATACTTAACATGGGGACAGATTTAGGACATACATGTACACGAAATAATAAATGCGTGTATGTGCTGGTTTCGAAATTCATTCTTTTTGATGTTCGATAGTTCGGCGTTCTGGTTATGCTACCTAAAAGCCCATCATTTGGGTCTCTCTGTCCTGAAACAGCTTTGTCCCAAATCGCCTCTTCGTCAGGCGCACGCGTTGAATTTTCTCATTTAATATCCATGAGAGCATCCAAACGAAATATACAACTTCAATAAATACATATATCTATACAGTACATATCTATTTACATATAATCAAAGGTTTATGTATATACATATATATGACGTTGTGCATAAAAAGCATGGTAGATACTTATTATATAAAATTATTCTCGCCTCAATTGGCCAATGACAAGCATTCATAAGGTTGGATTTCAAATCTAAATTCAGCCACACTGAAGGGTGGGTCGGAAAAACGACACGCCCCACATGAATAATGAAAATTTGTCCTTCCCAAATAAACTGGAGTTAGTGAAACTCATCATAGAATTCTTTATCATACGGTTGTCTAGTTGTAAAATCTGTTCGGGTCCGTTTAGTTTAAACAGTCGTGAATTATTGTGAAAAAAGTACTTTAGATATAATTATGTGCGTGTTTTTATATTAGTCGTTTCATAATTCATTGATTTGTAATTCATAGTTAGTTTTGGATCGGTGCTAATATGTGTATATACATAAAAACATACATGTGAAAAGTGTCATTGTTTACGATTCAACGGTGTGAAAAAGTAAATCGAAGAATGAATAATATGATCTATATTTATGAGAAAATTTGTATTTAGAAAGTTAAAGGAAGAAGATTATAACAAGTTCCTCAAATTGCTATTTGGTAATATTTTGTCCTGCATATTTATATGCGGGATATAAATAGATTCAAAAACAGTGCTTCAAAATTTATTCGCCGACGACTTTTGACGCCTCTCGGGCGTTTAAGCTCGAGGAGGATTTCGTAGGGAGTTGTGTGACAATGTCGATGTATTCAACAACGGATAAAATGAAAATGTCTGCTCCTACCTGCTTTCCTGGCCGATACAGCCCTACTTATAGGGGTCCGGATCAGATGAGGAGATGTATGCCGAATCCTTCTGTAAGTATAATAAAAGAGTGCAACTCTAAATTTGTTGAACAAAACATTGAACTTAATTTTAATGTAATAATACTCCATATTGTATATACATGTATAAGCAATTCGGCTTACATAGAATATAGAAATTTACAATTGATAAATTATATTGCTAAAGTTTTATATATATTTGTAGGTATTTTCACAAGTAGCTATGCAAAAATGTTTGTGTGAATGAATAGAGTTTTTAAAATTAGTTTTCTATTTGAATGCATTTTTCTTCTAAGTGATTTGTGTTCAACAACAAAAAGTAGATTCTAGTGAAATAATTTATAATTACTTCAAGAAGGAATTCTTTGAAAATAGTTTAGACAATATTCCCATGTAGGTATTATTTCTGATAATATGTAGAGTTAAGTACCAACATTAATATATATGCAAAGTGTATCTAATTGGATAATAATTTTTGTTTTTATTAATTTTGAAGAATTTTTGAGAGAACGACGCCTAGTGGGTTATAATATTGATATTTTCATATAGATTTGAGCCTTTAGTTCCACATGAAAAATACATACAATTCTCTGATATGTATACTCATAAATTAGTAAATATGTGCTAGAAAAAGATACGCCATAGACGCTGAAAGTTACAGTGTAAGAGTTTCGCATTTATGTGCAGATTTAAAATTGTGAATTAAGCGGTTAAAATGGCTCGTTGACCTATAGATATTTAAATCTATACTATTCTTTATAGGAATGGACTTATAGTATAACCACATTTTTTATCGTTTGTAAAACATTTTTTTTTTTGAATTTTTACGAAGTAGTATGCATAAAATTTGGGATATGTTTTTTACAGTATTTTAAGATAATGTAGTAAAATACATTTAATTGGTTCTTATACCTTTTTACTAAGCAAAAAAGTTTATAAAATATTAGTAAATATGGATTTAAGTTTTGGTGTTAGCATTGGCTTCCACTGACCTCTTAAACTCTTTCTTCGCTTTGCTGTATTTTTCTTATTTTTATATCTTAGCTTGGTTTGGTTACTTTTCACTAAAAACTAAATCAAGTTCGAGATTTCGAAAAGAGGAAGATTGAACATCTAATAACAACCCTTATATTAATTTGTTCATTGTTTGCTAAAGTTTTATGACGGCCCAAATCGTCTTCAATAATATCTGAAATAGTTAAATTAAACTTTACATTTTATGTAAAAGGTACATCAATGCATATGTGGAATTCAATTGTCCCATTTTGAAATATGGCAAATAAAGAGGAATACGAAAATTTACTGGAACTAATACCATGGAAAACGCTTTGTGCAAACGCTAGTACATAAGTGATTTGAAAATTAGTCTGATAGGTGATTTGAAAACAAAAGATGAAGTACACTTACTCAATTGCTAAATCAGTAAATAAACTAAAGTTTACAAAAATCCGTTAATTTCTAAATATTTTATATAACTTTCCGCTTTCTCAGCTTGATCAAAGTTCATCGAGGTCAACTAATAAAACTTTGTGGAAATAATTAGATATTTAACATTTTTTGGTAACATTCAGACATTCCGAATATTTTAAATATATCTTTAAAAAATTTTTCTTAATATTTTAGGAATGTTTTACGCGTTTTTAACATACTGTTATTACTTAATATTTCTCAATCTTTGGGGTATTTAATAAATAATAAAAACTTTACACTTCTTTGATTGTAAAATTTTTTAGGAATAATAAAGTATTTTAACTTTTTTCACTTTTTTTTAAGTGTAAGTAATAATAAAACTATCACAACTAACTATTCCGGTTATTCAAAAAACTGCCAACACTTTCGTTACACCCTGGAGTTTAACATGTCCTCTGAAGTATTCGCAAATGTGTTTCCCTATTTGGTGGAGAAATGTTTCCTATCGCATTAAAATAGTGTTATTGCCCCTTAGTTTGCAAAAGAATTTATGCCTAGCGTTTTCATAAAATTATATTATTTACTAGTTCATCTTCAACTTTTAAAATCAAGAGTTTTTGAAAATTGGTAAGGTTTAAGAAAGTTATTTAAAAAGATTATAAATAGTAGTACAGTACAAAAGTTAATCTGGTTGTATCGGAATCAGAATTGAAACCGATAAAAAAAATTAAGTATTATATTATCGAAACAGAAATTTTATAGTATAAGTTAAAATGTATGTAAGTGTATTTAGTTAATTTTTACATGTACATTGTCATTGATTGAAGATTTCAAAATAGTTTGTGTTATCTTTTGCAACGCAGAGCTTAATCAAAACTCAATTATTTTAAAGTCCATTTACGATTTATATATTTAAATAATATTAATATTATTCAATCAATCAATCTATTATATGCCGACGTTAAAGAAATAATTTAATGTACATATTAAATTACCGACTATATAAAGGCATTCTTGAAAACTTTTTGTAACCGTAAACAAATGTGGTCTTCACAACCATCACGTCCAGGTGGAATTTAAATATTGTCTTCGTTGTATCTTTTCGGTCACAACGAAGCGGTTTTAACCGATTGCGGCAATTTGAATAGTATACATCGGTAAATCACGTATGTTAGGGTGAGTTGGTGAAATTAAAAGAATAATCAGTTCGGTTAAAGTGCAAAACGTCTATCACGTCATCCAATCAATTTTATATGTGAATATGCTATATACCATATAGTATAACTCATACACTGACCGACACAGGTTTGTTACAAAAACGAAAACCATTATATTTAGTAGTTGGGAGTTGTGGTAGTATTGACCTCATTTTATATATTTTTATTACACTATGTATTAACTCGTTATTAACTGTTCGAAAATTCGGATATTAGTTATATAGGGGCTATGTCAAGTTGTTGCCCAATTCTATCTATTTTAGGCACAAAGATATACTCTTATGTTATGAGTAAAACACGCTTCCTCCTGACATAGGGATGTATGAAGAATATCACGAACTAAATTTTGTAGAAACCGGTCGGGCGGGTCCTGAGATATCACATTTCACCAAAAAGTAGGCGGTTCCACGTGATATTTTCACAGCGGCTCGCATAAAGCCCTCTCATAGTATGGAGGAGGTAAAATTTAATGTCTCTGGCGTATTTGGTTATTGATTTATTTGCGCTGAGAAAATTCGGTTGTTGAAGCTTTAGTGGTTTAGGAGAAATGTACAATGGACGATGGGCGTTGCACCGCCAGCTTTTTGGTGAAATCACATATCTCTGGACCCGTCAGACTGATTTCGACTAAACTTAGTACGTTGCATTCTAATCATATATCCATGTCATGGCGTGAAATTTGGCGAAACCGGTTCACAACCATGCCTACTTCTCATATAACATAACTTTAAATTCCATTTGATTCACTCAAATCAGGAAGATATTGAAATAACGAGGTAAAACTCTGCACTTATAATTCCTACTTTAAAGGAATGTCACCTTATGACTAAAATATGTCCAAATCCAACAAAATTTTCTTAAGACCCTAGGTACCGAATATGTGACCCCCAGTACCTATAGTTGATTTTTGACCGAAAACATCGGTCAATGCGTGAGATATACAATTGAAGTTTTGACAGAAACCTTTCCTGACAATAGTAGTTATGTGTATTAAAAATTGGTTGAATCGGGTTTAAACTTCCCTGAGCCTACATAATCCCAATATAAAAGTTTTCGAATTCACAAGTGAGTTTATGGTTGTTATAACGGCCAATATTTGAGTTTCCTCAATGAAAATTACAGAACATTTACTCATAACAGAATATCTTTGTGCCTAAAATAAATACAACAGGGTGAAAACTTGACCTGCCCCCCATATAACTATTGCCAGAATTTTGGAACATCGGCAAACTTTGCTCCATATGATACATATTATATTATATTGGGTTTTATTTTTCTTTCAAATCTTATGTCGAACTTGTCGGTCAGTGCATGAGTTATATTGAGTATATCTTCTTCTTGATTGGTGTAGTCACCGCTTACACGATTATAGCCGAGTTAACAACCGCGCGCCAGTCGTTTCTTCTTTTCGCTACGTGGCACCAATTAGATATTCCTCTTCCTCTGCTTCGCCCGGCGGGTACAGCATCGAATACTTTCAGAGCTGGAGTGTTTTCATCCATCCGGACAACATGATCTAGCCAGCGTAGCCGCTGTCTTTTAATTCGCTGAACTATGTCAATGTCATCGTATATCTCGTACAGCTCATCGTTCTATCGAATGCGATATTCGCCGTGGCCAACGCGCAAGGGACCATAAATCTTTCGCAGAACTTTTCTCTTGAAAACTCGCAACGTCGATTCATCCGTTGCTGGCATCGTCCAAGCCTTTGCACCATATAGCAGGACGGGAATTATGAGTGACTTGTAGAGTTTGGTGTTTGTTTATCGAGAGAGGACTTTGCTTCTCAATTGCCTACTCAGTCAGAGTATTGAGTATATATATGTATAAAATTGCTTGAGTTCCGATACTCTGGCTGAGGTTTTACATTTTAAAGAATTTTCCTGGTGTTGATTCTTAAAGTTGCAAGGTATAAAATGTTCGGTTGCACCCGAACTTAGGCCTTTCTTACTTGTTCTAAGTTCATTTTGTGTGACACAAAGCCAACTATGATCGTTCTTCATTCTTTCTCCTGTAAAGTTCCGAAAGTGTTCTTGCGTTATATTGTATTTTAAGTGAAGATATACTTATTTCGGTTTAGCTAAGCCAAAGTTGAAACCAACAGTACTTACCTGAAATTTTTGGACTAATACCGTTAGCAAAATCCATTATAGCAGAAAATTTGAATTTGAGTCTGTGCAAGAGTACGCCGATACCTCATTAAGGTGGTATAGCCGCAATCTTCAGAGGTACACAGTTTTGTTTTGCATATATACAAGGTGTTTTCCAAAGTAAACAGGTCTTTGTGAATCTAGCGCCCCCTGGTGGCGCCATCTATATGTCGACTGGTGAGTTAAAATCTGATATCCGATTGTTTATCGATTATCCAGTGAGAATTTCATTTGATCGATTGGAAGAGAAGTTGTTGCGTTTTAAGTGTCAGTATGTTTGTGTTATCTGTGTTGTGCACCACAATTTCTTATCGTTTGTTGCAGCATCGGATAGAGTTTTTCGATTCCTTTCTCCTCAATACTTAACGAATCGAAGACAGTTAATATTTCGTCGTATTGCCATAATCAAACACCTTTTCTTTCTTGCATATATGTATGTATCATATGGTGCTCGCTATAATTGAGCTGGTTTTAGATTTTTGCATTTTCATAGTTTAGAGTTGTTATTTTTTTACTAATAATTTTAGTTATTTATTTCCACTATTTAAAACAAATTTTGTACAATTATCTTTATATATTATAAACTAGGAAAAGAGATGAAATTTAATATAAATATGATGAAAAGTCGCCCAAAGGGCTGTTAATCATTGTTGTACTTGTTTGAGGTATAGAAATCATATCGTAGTTCTAAATCAATTTCTGTTATATTAAGCAGAAAGCCGTATTATGGTTGTTCGGCATAAAGTCAACTAGAATAGCGATAACTATTATACCTATAAACTACGTATTATATTAGGACTGGGGTAATTCATAGATCGATTAAAAATTTTCACCACATTTTAATATATCAAAAAATTTACTTTCCCTTAATATTAAAATTCATCTACATATTTTAAATACAATTTATAGGTTGATTAATACTTCGTGTAGGTTCTGCCATGTATGATGGCATGTGGGGGGCTTGAAAAGTAATAGTTTAATTTCAACCAGTATGAGAGATAGAGGTACTAAAGACATAATTTATAGTTATATTTCAATTTCTTCATTAGTGATTAGATTATCTATTGTAAAGTGAATGAAACTAACTGAATTGCAATTTTGTTTTATGAACGAGGTTGTGGTTATATTTCGATTTCCTTAATTTTAAGCCGTTATATACGATGTACAGAGAGAGGTGGTTGAAATCAAGATTACGCCATCCAAATTTGTCTGACGTCATTCTTCTAGAATAGATAAGGGATATCCCCATTGTGAATTTTTAATACTAATTCCATGCAACTCATTTGTATCATTATATTAGATGTAAAATTTAATGTCTCGACAAAAGTATGTATTTAGTTATTGCTTTAAATTAGTGTTTTAAAGAACTTATATAAAAACATTTTATGTTAATGAAAACAGTGCTTAAATAATAGTAGTAGTTCTAGGACAATTAAGTTATCTGTCTCCATTTTTTGTATATTTTAGTAAAACCGCTAACATAGAGTTTCCAAGTTTGATTACATTTAATATCTTTAAAGAAACAGAAAAATTTATGAACATTAATCTTCAAAAAAATATTTGCTCTTCAAATGCTTTATGGATTTTTCAAGAAATATTTTTTTTTCGTAGATGTAGTCAAATTGCTTATCGCAAATATCATTGCTGTTGTAGTGTCATACACAAGCATAACGGCAAATGTAATCGACTAGCCTTCTGTAATAGCGGTGTATATTTTTAATTACTTTCGCATAAAAAGGAAATTCTAAAGTATAATATTTAGTAACGCATTTATCAATCCTGCGATAATTGAATTATTCTCTTGGTTACATGGTTATATTTTATTTGGTACCTTAACTTCCCCCAACTAAATTTATTACACGGCTTTTAGCACTCTTTTTGAAGCCGTGTACATGTATTTTGTTTATGGTTTCGTGTACATATCTATGTATATATAAAATAGAAGAATATGAAAGTTCAATATAGTTAGCAAATAAATTACGCGATAATGTACAGCATATAAAATTTATTGTATTAAAACCATTTTAAAAACCAAAAAATGTCGATGTTTTACTTTTTGATATCTATTAAATGAAGAAATAATACACATCAATTTCTCTAATTAAATTTGGAACTTAACAGAATTTAACTACGAAATATAAAAATATATTTTATCGAATTATTTTTAATTAATACAAAAAAGTTCACATACCATCATATATTTCTCGTACATTTACACTACATAACATTATCAATATTGCTTGTACATATTTCCAGACCCGTATTTTAGAAGACGCTTCCCTTTTATGCAATTCTTGGTCGGCTCGTCAGAATGTAAGTAATTATGTATATTCTCTGTATAATTTTGTGCATTGTATATAAATTTCATAAAACATTTCTATATCATCTAAAATTTTTAAAAATCTGTTTGTTAAAAATAGAAAATTATGTAGTAGTAGTATGTGTTTAAATATAATGATATCAAAAGTTGAAATTAGCATTGGTCACTCATAATTTTTAAAAATAGTAATATTTCGGTTCGGAGGATGGAGTCATGTGTAGAAGTTCACGCAAGTGAGGAAGTTTTCTGATCGCCATTCACTTGGGAGTGGCCAGAAACGATTATTTTTCATATGACTCAAGCAGCTCACGACTACCAGTCCTTGACCAAGTATCTTCTGGATAGCCTAAGAACATCCGTTTGAAGACGAGCTAAAGTGAGAAGGCGAAACATCCCCTACACCACGACCCGCCACGTAAAAAACACCCCTAATGAAAACGCAACATGAATCGACACTCACCACATCTTCGTCGATTTCAAAGCTGCTTTCGACAGCACGAAAATGAGCTGCCTTTATGCCGCAATGTCTGAATTTGGTATCCCTGCAAAACTTATACGGCTGGGTAAACTGACGTTGAGCAGCACCAAAACCTTCGTCAGAATCGGGAAGGACCTCTCCGAGCCGTTCGATACCAAACGAGGTTTCAGACAAGGCGATTCCTTATCGTGCGACTTCTCAACCTGCTTCTGGAGAAAATAGTTTGAGCTGCATAACTAAATAGAGAAGCTACCATCTTCTATAAGAGTGTACAGCTGCTGGCGTATGCCGATGATATTGATGTCATCGGTCTCAACACCCGCGCCGTCAGTTCTGCTTTCGCCAGGCTGGACAAGGAAGCAACACAAATGTGTCTGACAGTAAACGAGGGCAAGACGAAATATCTACTGTCATCAAAAAAACAGTCGTCAGCACTCACGACTTGGCACTCACGTCACTGTTGACAGTCATGGCTTTGAAGTTGTAGATAATTTCGTCTATCTTGGAACTAGCATAAACACCATCAACAATGTCAGCTTAGAAAGCCAACGCAGGATAACTCCTGCCAACAGGKGCTACGTCGGACTGAGTAGGCAATTGAGAAGCAAAGTCCTCTCTCGACAAACAAAAACCAAACTCTATAAGTCACTCATAATTCCCGTCCTGCTATATGGTGCAGAGGCTTGGACGATGACAACAACTGATAGTCGACATTGCCATGAGCTGTATGAGATATATGACGACATTGATATAGTTCAGCGAAGTAAAAGACAGCGGCTACGCTTACTAGGTCATGTTGACCGGATGTACGAAAACACTGCAGCTCTGAAAGTATTCGACACTGTACCCGCCAGGGACGCAGAGGAAGACCTCCCCTCCGTTGGAAGGACCAAGTGGAGAAGGACCTGGCTTCACTTGGAATATCTAATTGGCGCCACGTAGCGGAAGGAAGAACGACTGGCGCGCGGTTGTTAACTCGGCTATAATCGCGTAAGCGGTGACTACGCCAATCAAGAAGAAGAATATATTGGTTCACTTCATTTCGGCAAAGTCAAAGATATTATTTAAATAAATAATAATTTTAAATTTTCAAGTAATTCATAGGATAATTCAGTAGGGTTTCCAGAAGTTAGGCAAAAAATCCGAAGGGCATTTAACCTCATGGAATTATTAAATTTTGCAAACTTTTTTTAAAATTGAAACTAATACAATATTAAACAGAAGTTTTTGTAAATAAAACCCCAAATTTATTTTAATGATTTAGTTACATTACGAAATAGGTTATTTTTTTGTACTGGTTTAAAATTCACAGTTACTCTTAATTATTATTTTTTCAGGAAACTTTATACATATAGAGTCATCTGCCACCTAATTAGCAACTTTCTTATTTTCAAGCCAATTTATGTATGTAGGTGTTGATGCTTTCAACTGCGTCGGGAAAACGCTGTTGTCTGAATATCTTGCTCAACAACTGATTTGATTGAGTATGAAATCTTTATTTCAAATTGGACTAGTCATTACACAGTTGCGCCGGTTTACGAAGTGTTTTCTTGTTTTGTTTCTTGATATGTTCTCTGCTTTCAATGACGTTTTCTTAACTTGATATATTTTGATATTATAACCAACGTCAACCGACTTTCACTAACGCTTCGATCTATTTTTCTTAAAATCTCAGCTTTTTGAAATCAATCTAATATAGTATATGTGTTTACGATGATATTTTCTGCTTAGTTGAAAGTTCGTTTTTACCTATTCGGTTCGGGTGCATTTTATACTATTGCAACTTGCAAGAATCAAAATCAAAGAAATACTTTCAGGTGTAAAACCAATCATATAGAGTAAAGTCAGCTGGATGTTCGAAAATCCGGATATTATTATATAGAGGCAATACCAAGTTTTCCCTGAAATTTATCTATTTAAGATACAAAGTACACTGTTATGAATAAAAAATGCTCTCTTATTTTCTTTTGGATTACTCACATATAGGACGATATATGCGGTACAAAGCTCCCCAAGTTCGAAAATTTATACATTAAGTCTATATGGATAAGGGAAGTATTGATCCGATTCAACGCATTTTTGACATACAGACATATCAATATAAGAGATGGATTATCCCTTAATTTCAGTTATATATATCACACATTGACCGACATTTTCGATCAAAAGTCAACTATAGGTACCGGGGTCTAAATATTCTGTACCTAGGGGCCTAAACAGTTTTTATTGGATTTAAACAAAATTTTGGCCATAGGGTGGCACACATTAAATACAGTGTTCGTTTTATCCCGTTACATTAACAGCTCTTGATTTGAGTACTGTAAACTGAACGAATGGAGTTTAGTAGTTTTAGGTGTGGTAGTTGTCCGACTGTCCATTTTCACAATGTGACATAAGAATGTAAAAAGAATGGCACGTACTAAATTTTGTCTAAAGCGTACTAACTTTTGTCTAAAGCGGTCAATCGTGTCCCGAGATATGGGATTTCACCAAAAAATGTGCGGTGCCACGCCCATCGTCCAATTTTCACACCAGTTCCCATAAAACTCACAAATGCCATCTCGGTGGTAAAATTTAATGACTGTGGCATATTTAGTTACAGATTTATCGCGCTTTTAGTAGTTTTTAACAGTACCTACCGTTATATAGGGAGTCAGCGGTATTATCCTCCGATTTCATCCATTTTTACACTGCAGGTAGTATTTGCAGTCAGCAATTTTATTTGTAGTAATTTAAGCGGTTGGGGGCGGGGACACGTCCATTTTTTAAAAAAATCTTTCCCACCAAATTGTACCAAATTACAGTTGAATACCTTAAGTTAGTACTTATAATATTTATGGCACTTTATATGTTTTCGGTTAATGAAAATTTATGGGCGTGGCAGTGGTCTGACTAGTCTATATAACCCTATATCTATCTCGCTCGATTTTATGTGATTCCTACAACTGTTAGGTGAACAGAACTACAATACTCTGTAGCAACTGTTGCAAAAGTATAAAAATTTTAACTCTCATAACTTAGTATATGTATGTGTGTCCTTGCTCCGACAATACAAAACTAACAAGATTCTCACAAAACAAAAAGAAATTCCGGTACAGTAAAAATGAGCTACATACATATATACTGAATAAAAATTTGACGATGAAAGCGGCCGATATATCCGAAACTACTTGACCAATTCCAAAGAAATTGTGATAATAACACGTTTTTTATGTGAAGTTCAATGCATTTGGATGACTTTTTAACGAACAGGACGGTCAATCTCTGGGATACCTTAAAAGAGGCAGATAGGATTTTTTCTGGAAATACTAAGTTTTGCGTTCGCTTTTTCGTTTCAAATGGCTTTTTGAACAATGAATGTTAAGCACTAACAAATCACTCATTAAATATTAAAATTATACATTTCTTCATGATAATATATGTACTTAATATACTTACCAAATCCATAAAATATCGTATATGCCGCGTCTTATTTCTTGAGGTGTAGGATTGAAATTTGACAGAACCGAAGCAAATAGCCGAACAATCACGCAAAGACAATGTTCAACTCTTCACATAGTGCAGTGCAGCATAAAATGACGCAAATTAAGATACAAAACTGTACAACGAAGAATTAAAAAGGGGCCCCAAATAACCAAAATTGCACCTTCCAAATCATTTTAACATCTCATTAACCTAACAGAAAGATTTTTGAACTTTCGATATTTTCGGCAAAAAGTCAACTACATGTACCGGGGCCGATAGGTTTTTGGTCATAAGGTGATGCTTTAAAAGCACTATTCATGCAAAAGGTGTAACTCGTTATATTAATTCAAATCAAATGGACTTTTAACTTGTGTTGTTGGGAAAGGCGTGATGGAAGTCCGACTTCACCCTTTTGCACTGTGACATAGGAATTTAAAACAATAATGTTATATTCTTACTTTAGTTGGTGTAGACCTTTGTTCTAATTTGATATAGCTAATATCAGCAGTTACGCTGTTCTCATTGATGTTTTGCACATCAACTGAAGTCAAAATGTAGCCTCTTAGCTTAAGTTTATGTCAGTAAGACACGAAGTAAAATATTAATCAAATATCTCTCTTCCGGCCTTTTGGTCTTTTGAATTTCGCGTCTATGTATAAAGCACTACAGAGCTTGTATCTGGCAATACTATACATCTTTGAAAGGTCTTGACATAACCTACAAAACGACGCTATGATTGATTACTTTGGATATGGCGTTTAACAGTTATAGACATGTAAACATGGAGTTTAGTAACGCCGAAATTCGCCCTATTCTAAAATGTTCCTTCGTTAAAGGCAAATCCGCTAGAGAAACGTTCCGTGAGATGTTTCGGTGCCGCATGAGATGACCCAAAAAAACTTTTTGGACACTTTCTGCTCAAACGGAACGAACTCGACCCATTTTTGAAGCGAATGGTGTCCGGCGACGAAAAATAGATCACATACGACAATATCAAATGAAAACGGTCGTGGTCGAAGGCCGATGGATCGTCCCAAATAGTGGCCAAGC